AAAAAGAAAACAAACCCACCCGTTATAGGGATGAGCTTTTGGCAGAACTTGACGACAGAGTTGTTGGAGAGGTCATCGTCCTCGTCCTCTGCCTCTGCTAGTAGCTGGGGAGGGGTAGGAGAGGGGGGAGGGTCGCACAAAGAAGCAGGTGTCGGCAGGAGGGGTAGGAGGGGAGCAGCGCAGCGAACAGCAGGTTCACTGCTTCAAAGGCCTGAATGGCCGCACAGGGCAGGGCAGCGAACAGCAGGTTCACTGCTTCAAAGGCCTGAATGGCCGCACAGGGCAGGGCAGCGAACAGCAGGTTCACTGCTTCAAAGGCCTGAATGGCCGCACAGGGCAGGGCAGCGAACAGCAGGTTCACTGCTTCAAAGGCCTGAATGGCCGCACAGGGCAGGGCAGCGAACAGCAGGTTCACTGCTTCAAAGGCCTGAATGGCCGCACAGGGCAGCGCAGCGAACAGCAGGTTCACTGCTTCAAAGGCCTGAATGGCCGCACAGGGCAGCGCAGCGAACAGCAGGTTCACTGCTTCAAAGGCCTGAATGGCCGCACAGGGCTGCGCAGCGAACAGCAGGTCCACTGCTTCAAAGGCCTGAATGGCCGCACAGGGCAGCGCAGCGAACAGCAGGTTCACTGCTTCAAAGGCCTGAATGGCCGCACAGGGCAGCGCAGCGAACAGCAGGTTCACTGCTTCAAAGGCCTGAATGGCCGCACAGGGCAGGGCAGCGAACAGCAGGTTCACTGCTTCAAAGGCCTGAATGGCCGCACAGGGCAGCGCAGCGAACAGCAGGTTCACTGCTTCAAAGGCCTGAATGGCCGCACAGGGCAGCGCAGCGAACAGCAGGTTCACTGCTTCAAAGGCCTGAATGGCCGCACAGGGCAGCGCAGCGAACAGCAGGTTCACTGCTTCAAAGGCTGCGTTGCGCTGCGATGGCCGCAATGACAGACAGACAGACAGACAGACAGACAGACAGACAGACAGACAGACAGACAGACAGACAGACAGACCTGGCCACCCAGACAGACAGACAGACAGACAGACCTGCCCACCCAGACGGACAGACAGACAGACAGACAGACAGACAGACAGACAGACCTGGCCACCCAGACAGACAGACAGACAGACCTGCCCACCCAGACGGACAGACCTGGCCACCCAGACGGACAGACCTGCCCACCCAGACGGACAGACCTGCCCACCCAGACAGACAGACCTGCCCACCCAGACAGACAGACCTGCCCACCCAGACGGACAGACCTGCCCACCCAGACAGACAGACCTGCCCACCCAGACAGACAGACCTGCCTGAAACGTCTCCCCCCCGAAACGCTACCAAACTGCCTGCCTGCCTGCCTGCCTGCCTGCCCGGGCCCGGCCACGCCACCCATGGTTGGTTGGTTGGTACCTTGTAGGAGGAGAATATGAGCACCGCGGCAAACAGCAGGTTCACTGCCTCAAAGGCTTTGATGGCTGCGATGCCCACCCAGGCCTACCACCCATGCCCAGACCTATCATGATGGCTTGTGCGTCGACTCATGCAACCAGCACCCTTGGTTTGTACCCACCTTATAAGAAGAGAAAATGAGGACGGCAGCGAACAGCAGGTTCACGGCTTCAAAGGCTTGGATGGCTGCTATGCCCAGGCCTATCATGATGGCTCGGAATATCACAGCTCCGGCAATGCCGTACGTGAGCACCCGAGGCTGGTGGTCCGGCAGAGGAAAATGGGTCACCAAATTGCCGGGGTGGGGTTGAGAGAACACGGGCGGGGGGGAAGGGTGGGCAGTGGAGGGAGATGGGGGAGGAAAGTGGGATTGCAGAAATTAGCTGACCATTCAAGAGCATCACATGTATGGTGAGTGGACGTGGATGGTGCAGACAGTATAGCAGCAGACATGGCCGAGAGAGAGCGCCCACCTGGTAAGCTCAAACATGGCCGAGAGAGAGCGCCCACCTGGTAAGCTCAAACATGGCCGAGAGAGAGCACCCACCTGGTAAGCTCAAACATGGCCGAGAGAGAGCACCCACCTGGTAAGCTCAAACATGGCCGAGAGAGAGCACCCACCTGGTAAGCTGTAGGCACTTAAAAAGTAGGAGAAGATGAGGACAAAGACGAAGAGATTTATGAGTTGACTCAGGAATGGCAGAAAGAGAGTGAGAGTGAGAGTGAGGCACTTTGAGAGTGAGGCACCTGAGAGATCACCCACCTGAGAGATCACCCACCTGAGAGATCACCCACCTGAGAGATCACCCACCTGAGAGATCACCCACCTGAGAGATCACCCACCTGAGAGATCACCCACCTGAGAGATCACCCACCTGAGAGATCACCCACCTGAGAGATCACCCACCTGAGAGATCACCCACCTGAGAGATCACCCACCTGAGAGATCACCCACCTGAGAGATCACCCACCTGAGAGATCACCCACCTGAGAGATCACCCACCTGAGAGATCACCCACCTGAGAGATCACCCACCTGAGAGATCACCCACCTGAGAGATCACCCACCTGAGAGATCACCCACCTGAGAGATCACCCACCTGAGAGATCACCCACCTGAGAGATCACCCACCTGAGAGATCACCCACCTGAGAGATCACCCACCTGAGAGATCACCCACCTGAGAGATCACCCACCTGAGAGATCACCCACCTGAGAGATCACCCACCTGAGAGATCACCCACCTGAGAGATCACCCACCTGAGAGATCACCCACCTGAGAGATCACCCACCTGAGAGATCACCCACCTGAGAGATCACCCACCTGAGAGATCACCCACCTGAGAGATCACCCACCTGAGAGATCACCCACCTGAGAGATCACCCACCTGAGAGATCACCCACCTGAGAGATCACCCACCTGAGAGATCACCCACCTGAGAGATCACCCACCTGAGAGATCACCCACCTGAGAGATCACCCACCTGAGAGATCACCCACCTGAGAGATCACCCACCTGAGAGATCACCCACCTGAGAGATCACCCACCTGAGAGATCACCCACCTGAGAGATCACCCACCTGAGAGATCACCCACCTGAGAGATCACCCACCTGAGAGATCACCCACCTGAGAGATCACCCACCTGAGAGATCACCCACCTGAGAGATCACCCACCTGAGAGATCACCCACCTGGTATGGTGTAGGCACTTTGAAGTAAGAGAAGATGAGGACAAAGACAAAGAGATTATCCACCGACAAGCTCTGCTCCAATAGATACCTGCCACGTGGCAAGCAGCAGAGAGGGAAGGGAAGGGACAGTGAGCAAGACGGTGAGTGGAGGGACAAGCGGACTGAAAGCAACAGCGTTTGCGCTGACTGACAAGTTTGAAGGTTTACACTGACTGACAAGTTTGAAGGTTTACACTGACTGACAAGTTTGAAGGTTTACACTGACTGACAAGTTTGAAGGTTTACACTGACTGACAAGTTTGAAGGTTTACACTGACTGACAAGTTTGAAGGTTTACACTGACTGACAAGTTTGAAGGTTTACACTGACTGACAAGTTTGAAGGTTTGCACTGACTGACAAGTTTGAAGGTTTACACTGACTGACAAGTTTGAAGGTTTACACTGACCGACAAATTTGAAGGTTTACACTGACTGACAAATTTGAAGATTTACACTGACTGACAAGTTTGAAGGTTTACACTGACTGACAAGTTTGAGGGCTATTTTCCGTTCTCCTTTGCACACAGAACACCGCATGCAGTGAGAAAAGGAACCATGCCCCTCTCACCATTCTCACCATTCTCACCATTCCAGCCTCACCCCGACTCAAAAATAAACTCTCCCCTTTAATCCCGGCCTCACCCGGCAATCAGGAAATCCGATGCTTTCATTGTCGATTGTTCCCCCATCAAGTTTTGAGACGTCTCAAAAATAAACTCTCCCCTTTAATCCCGGCCTTACCCAGCATCTGATGAACTCCAATGCTTTGGTTGGCTGTTGTTCCCCCATCCCCTCTTCCCCTCTCTTCCTCTCTTCCCTGCGGCCCCCTCCTTCTTATCCCACCCCTTCCCCACCCACCCCATTCTCACCCAGCAAAGAACTCTGACGCTTTGGTCGGCCCCTCTCAGTCGCATCATCCCTCCTCACCCTTTCCCGCCCCTCCCCACCCCCCCACACCCCTGCCCATCCCATTCTCACCCAGCAAAGAACTCTGACGCTTTGGTCGGCCCTTCCACGAAACCAATGCCTAGACCAAAGGCTGTCGCTGCTGCCACCTAATGGAATGGGAGGGGAGTGGAGGGGAGGGGAAGAGTGGGAGGAGGGGAGGCGAGGAGGAGAGAAATTCTAAGTGGGACACTTCGATCGAAAAACGGGGGGGAAAGCGGACACAAATGGATGCCGACGGGAAATGCGGAAGAGGGAAGCGGAAGGAGGAAGCAGAGGAAGGGGAATGGGGGGTGGGGATGCGGAAGAGGGGGGATGCGGAAGAGGGGGGATGCGGAAGAGGGGGGATGGGGAAGAGGGGGGATGGGGAAGAAGGGGGGATGCGGAACAGGGAGGAAAAGTGGCGGAGGAGGCGGAATGTGGAAGAGGCGGAATGAGGAAGAGGGGGGAAAAGTGGCGGAGGAGGCGGAAAGCGGAAGAGGCGGAATGCGGAAGGCAGGCATCTTCAATCGGCCCGTCCACATTTCAGTCTGAAGATTCGTCCACATTTCAGTCTAAATATTCGTCCACATTTCAGTCTAAAAATTCGTCCACACTTCAGTCTAAATATTTGAAGGCTGATGCTCGTACCAGATGCAATCGCGGCCAGAACGAGAGAAGGGGAGGATGAGGGAGGGAGGGGGGATGATGGCAGATGATCTCTGATTCTAAAAAATGAAGTCATTGTTCGTTATACGAACCATCGAGAATACACATTGAGATTATCCGCGTTATACGATGTTTCAATTGTGCTTGCTGCTTACCCAGAATCCCACGGTCTTCATGGCTGTCGTCGTATCAATGATCTCCACGTCAGCAGGAGGCGAAAGCGGTGATAGGTCAAGCTCGCCAACGGTTGCCACCTTGGCAGCCACCGACTCTGGCAAGTCCAGGTCAGCATTGCTGACGTGGCCATCATTAGAGGTACTTCTGGTGGAGCTGGATTCGGGCTGCTGGCTTTGGGCACGCACGGACCGCCACGTGGCTTGATGACGTTGATGTCTCAGATTCGTTTGGCCGGATGATTGAATCTGAGAAAAAGGATTGGCTCTTAGCGGGGAGGATTTTAGCGAAGAAACTCTTAGCGAAGCCAATGGTGCGAAAGAACCTGTCGATGCACATGTGGTTTCTCTCGCCTGGCCAACGGCGACGGAATTGCCTAGGGACGCAACGGTTCCTGGTAACCGCATAACCATTGTCGCCATGGGATCCCGTCTCAGTCCACTCACGAGATTAAGTGCAATTAAACAGACGAGGAGAACGCGCCACTCTAAGGTATTAGCTGATGAAGTTCTTAGTCTTGTGTATCATTAAATCTGGTATCTTGCACCATCAGAGTTCCTAGGCTGATGATCAACATCTGTATGGACACTTCACCGCTTCAAACCTCTATTCACCGAAGGCAAACGTACAAAAATGAAGTATCCAGAGTTGGTGAAACGTCTCGCCACCCAGACGGGAGGTTCGCGATTTGCGAACGCGCCGAATGAATCGCGAATCGCGAGCCAGGCGACTGGCGGCAAAAATGGTCACGTGGCTGGCTTCTGGCGGTTGGACGATTCGAGAGCCAGCCAGGATGACACGTCGTTTTCCTCGCTAAACGCTGACTTATTCGAATTCTAATGCACTCATCATAACAAGAGTATTCAGATACACACTTTCTAGAGCAATGCGTTAGTATGATGCTTTCCACAGCCCCCTTGTCACGTATTTTCGAACGACACAGTAAGAATTCGCGATGATGGCGTGTCACATCGTGTGGTGTCCAGCTGTTCCATCGGGGTCGGTTTTGTAGAGTGAGGCAAAAAATATAATCAGCAAGGTTTAGTACGGTGCTTGTTTGAACAGACCCACTTGAACTTTTGAGGTAACACGCCCTAAGCAATCGTTCGGTCACTGTACATCTGATTTCCGAATGGGGCAAATCGAACCGTTCGCACCGCCTAAACACAAATCGAACAATCAAACCAGCTGGGTTCAGCACAATTGCGACGTCGGAAAATTCGTGACGAAAACTCGCGAGGTTCTACGAGAAATGTCACCACACTGAGCTCCGAAAGGTTCCTTGGTTCGTACTGGTTGGATTTTAGATGTACCACGCCCTAAGATTCTGTTTTCCTCCAACTTCCTCGGGAATCCCACACCACCTATCTACTTCCGCCGTTATTTGGTAGCCATGGACGCACATTTCGGCTTCTGTGACTAGCCTCGGATCGTATGCATCCGAGCGCACGGACGCTGCGAGTCAAGAACATCTCACGAGTTGCGACCGTCTTTTGGACGCAAGCCACGTCCCATCGCAATGCCATAACGAGGCAGTCACTTCACTGCCGCGTTTCTACGCTTTCTCGCGCATGTTTCGGGCAGGCAACCTGTGTGAGCTGTTTTCCAGTCCATGGTTGTAGTTTGATAACTTAGTTCGGTACCATTCGGTACCATAAGAAGCTTCAATTGAGTGTGCACTCAGTCGGCACGGACGATGCCGAAGCCTCACGTTTGGTCCAGTCCTGCAGTTAAAGGAAAGGCGTATCCTTTACCTAAGAAACGCCGCCCTTTAAAGCGCGTCTTACCTCTCCTCTTAATCGCCGTGGTTCTCGCCATCTGTTACTGCTACAGCCTACTGATTTCCTCCGAACCGCCCGACTCCGACCAATCAGAACGCTCCGTTTCCAGTGGCCTAGACCGGGATCGAGGTCGTATTCGCGGCTCGGGTAAGGTGAAGATAGAAAACACTGGCAATGGAGCCGAGTCGCTTGAAGACGAGTGGTCAGCGTACGGTCTAGGGAACCACGGCTTAGAACCCAATAGGATTAATGCAACCCATGGCGGCGCGATTGGCGCCGTGAGCTCCGCTACGCGGCGCGTGCGGCTTCAAGGGGGCTGGAAGGAGCGGCGGCAGCGGACACGGGCTTTAAGAATGCAATTAGAGGCGCGGCTACAGGCGGAAGCGGACGAGGGGGAATGGGGAGACGGGGAAGAGGAGGCGGAGGGGGAGGGGGGAGATGGAAGTCGGCGCGGGGAAGGGAAAGGGGGAGAGGGGGGAGGGCGAGGGGGAAGAGGAGCAGCGGAAAGGGGAGGGAAGGCGGGGAGAGGAGGCGACTTGCTGGGTGCGCTTCGTTCGGGGATGGCGAAATCGCGATTTGCTTACGTGTTCATCGTTCATTCGTCTAGTCTGGTTGGTGGTTCGTTCCTGGTTCGGGTGGTGTGCAGGTTGGAAAGAAATTGGGTAGGGGGAGAAAGAGGGACGAGAAGGAAAGGGGAAAAGGGGGAAGGGATTGGGAGGGGAAGTTTAAGGTTCAATATCTGGTAACAACTGCTTGTAACTCGTTTGGTTCTGGTGGGTAGTTTAGTTTTAACTACAGGGGGTTGAAACCGCGTCATTGTAACAAGCACATAGTGCTTTGCAACATTTGTTTGACTGCGGTGGATTTTTTGTAACAGCAGGTGTTCGTTACAGCGTCGCTGTAACAGCCACCTCGTGCTTGTAACATTCGTAACCATTCTGTCTGTCTTTTTCCCCCACCCACCATCCACGCCCTCCACTTCTCAGAGTGAAGACGGATTCGAACCGCAGCAAGCCTTGTAGTCCCCGCAGCAATTCTCAAAAGTCCCCCTCCCACCATCCACGCCCTCCTCTTCTCATCTCCTCCTCTCCTTTCTTTCCCCTCCTCCCACAATCCACTCCCTCCTCTCCTCAACTCCTCCTTCAGCTCTCCATCTCCTCCCCTCCCCTGTCTCCGCTTCTCCCCGTTCCCCCCTTCCTCCCTCCATTCTCCTCCCCTTACCCTGCTTCCACCTCCGCCCAGCCATAGTGGCAGCGCAACCACTGCGCTTCTCCTCATGCATGCACCCCCCCCACCCTTGTCCCCCCACCACCCCCCACACCACTTCCAGCTCCGTCCAGCGATAGTGGCAGCGCAAGCCCTCCGCTTCTCCCGCCCCCCCCCCCCCCCGACCTGCTTCTCCTCCTCTCCTCCTCCGTACCCCGCCAGCCCTCCATGCTGCTGTTGCTCTTTCCTGCTGTTCTCCCCCACCCCCTTCCGCCCCCTACCCCCTTCCAGCTCCGTCCGGCTATAGTGGCGGCTCAAGCCCTCCGCTTCTCCCGCACCCCTCATGACCTGCTGCTCCTCCTCTCCTCCTCCGTACCCCGCCAGCCCTCCACCCTCCCCCTCCCCCTCCTCCTCCGCCACTTCACAGCCGTCATCCCCCTCCCGGCCAATCACCTTCAAGGAGCCACCGTTGCGGCCAATCCGCTGCTAGTAGCGGGACCGGGTGGCGCAGGGGCGGCGGGCGGAAGGGGATCGGGCGGCGGAACTGGTTGGGCGGCTGGGGATGGTTTGGAGGGCAATCAGGGGACGGGGATGGCAGGGGGGGGGTCTCCGGTGGAAGGTTACAGGAAGCTTCACGTGTGGCGGTTGGTGGAGTACGATTGGGTGCTGTATCTTGACGTGGATGTGCTTATAACGAGAAACTTGGATCACCTGTTTCCCAGTAACGCGGAGGATGGCAGCAGCACCATTAGTAGCAACAGCAGCGGCAGCAGCGGCAGCAGCAGCAGCAGCAGCAGAAGCAGAAGCAGCAAGGGAGCAGGCAAGGTGGACTCTTCACCAGATACCACCTCCCCCCACAGGCAGCCCTGTCCCGAGCCTCTCGCTGCCGCACCTGACGTGTACGAGGCTGACCGCTTCAACGCAGGCGTGCTGCTGGTTCGGCCGAGCCTCGCGGTGTTTCGGCAGATTGTGAGGCGAGCCAAGGTGGTGGCTGCTGCCGTGGCTGCTCGAGCTGGCGCCATGCCTAACGACCAGGTACGGATTCGCCAAAGCGACCAGCCTCATGGTGCACTGCATGCTGTGCCATGCCTGTTGACCAGGTACGGCAGGGATGCTGCTAGCGCTCTATGAAGAGTGACTTAAAGCTTAAGGCCCAAATTGCGGGCCGCGCAGGGCAAGATTAGTAATCTTGCACACTTCTCGTTTTCTGTGCTGGTGTGTGGCGAAAATTTGGTTACAGTAGGTGCGATGCAATCTGATTGGTCGAAAGAAAACTCACTGCCAAAACATCGAGTTTTACTACTCTGCAATTTGGGACTCGAGATCCCCAAACTCACGTTTCCCCCTGAAGCCCGCTGACTCAGCGAAAAAAACATGTGTTACGGGCGAAATCAGACAGGTCACCTTCCCAACACTCCCCTCGACTCTTACGTTCCCAAACCCACCCCTCAGCACGCAAGATTAGTAATCTTGCGCAATTTGGGCCTAGAGCATTAACGCCCCATCCACCCACCCACCCACCCACCCACCCACCCACCGATATAATTTTCGAGCCACTTTTGAGAAATTTGAGACGTCTCAACGTCGCAAAACCCCACCCACCTGTATACTATTTATGGGTCACATTCACTAAAGTAACTCTAATATAGCTGACCCCAATGCTGTCTCCCCTGCCGCCATAACTTAGTGTTTTGCCACTGCTACCACGCCCACTGGTCCTGCTCCCCTTGTTTCTCCCATTCGTCTCCTAGCTGTCCCATGCCCCCCTCTGATCCCTCTGCTTCCCCCTCTCAACTCTGTCTTTCGCCACTGGTACATACAAGTCCCGCTCCTCCTCCTCCTCCTCCTCCTCCTCCCTCCTGCTCCCCCTGTTTCTCCCCAATGGCCCCACCAATGCCCCCCCTTGGCCCCCATACTCCCTTTCGAGGCGCCTCAAGAAAAACTCCCCTTGCCCCCCATACTCCCTTTCGAGGCGCCTCAAGAAAAACTCCCCTTGCCCCCCATACTCCCTTTCCCCCCCATCATCAGGACTTCCTGAATTCTGTCTTTCGCCATTGGTTCAAGTCCCACCCATCCTGCCGTTGACCCATCGATGGACCCCCTGCTTATGCCCCCTCTCTCCACCCCTGCTCCTCCTCTCCCCCCCATCATCAGGACTTTCTCAACTCTGTGTTTCGCCATTGGTTCAAGTCCCACCCCTCCTGCCGCTGATTCATGCCCCCCCTGTTCCCCCATGCCCCTCCCTCCCGCCTGCTCCCACCATCAGGATTTTCTCAACTCTGTGTTTCGCCACTGGTTCAAGTCCCACCCCTCCTGCCGCCTCTCGTTCACAACCAACGCCATTCTCCACTTCCCCCTCCCCTGGTACCAACCTCCCTCCTGGCTGCACCCCCCCTGTGGCCCTGACTGCGCCCCTCTGCACCTAGGGCCTGTTCACACAGTGCACTTCGCCAACCCCTGGTTCAAACCCTGGCTCTTTCTGAACACGCCCTTGGATCAGCTGATCCCTGGGTCTCACGAGCTGGGCTTTAAGGGTGCGGGGAACGGGGTTGTTGCTGCTACAAGTGCTGCTGTTAGTGCTGCTACCAGTGCTGCTAGCAGTGCAACTGGTAATGCTGCTGGTACTGCTGCTGTTGCTGCTGCTAGTGCTGCTGCCACTACTTCGAACTCCTCCTGTGCTTGTAGCTGTGCCACCACTCCAGACCGCTCTCCACACCATTCCTCCCCCTCCCCTTCCATACCCACCCACCCGCTCCTCTCCGGACCTCTCCCGTACCTGTCCGAGTCCGACCGAGCCTGGGGCTTCTGTTCGGTGTGGTGCCGAGCCTGGCTGGCCCTGTACTGGTCGCTGCAGCAGGGGGAGTGGGCGGCTCCCCTGGGAGAGGGGGCGCACTGTATAGGGCAGGGGCAGGGGCAGGGGCAGGGGCAGGGGCAGGGGCAGGGGCAGGGGCAGGGGCAGGGGCAGGGGCAGGGGCAGGGGCAGGGGCAGGGGGGAAAGCAGGAAGCTGGGGTTACAGCGGAGGGGAAGGGGGAGAGAGTAGTGGAGGGGAAGGGGGAAGGGAAGGGGCGATTCGGGAGGGGGTTGAAGGGTTTGGCTGGCGAAGGAGTGCTGAATAAGACCTCTTTGCGGCTGTCCCTGTCGATGCCAGGAGCTGTCAACTCAAGTACGGTGGGAGGTGTGGGGTTAGGCAAGGCGGGAACAGTGGAGGTGGCTTTTGAGGCGCCCCAAATGTCGCGGCTGTCCCTGTCTAAGTCAGTATCTGTGAACTCAAGTACGGTGGGAGGAGTGGGGTTAGGCAAGGCGAGAGCAGTGGAGCAGGGGAAGGAAGGAGTTGGGGAGGTAGGGAAGCAGGGGGCAGAGGGGTTAGAAGAGAGTGTAGCAGTGAGGTTGGGGAAAGAGGGGGCAGTGACTGTGGGGAAGAAGCAGGGAGGCAACAGAAGCACCGCAGCTCTCTCTTCCGTACCACCTTCCATCCCGCCCTCCTCTCCATCTCCCATCCCGCCTCCTCTCTCCTCCTCCCCCTCTCCTCCCCTTGACACCACCAGCACCCCAACCTCTTTGCTCCCTCTCTCTTCCACCCCTCCTCTCTCCCCCACTCCCACTTCGACTCCTCCCACTCCGCACACTCCCTCCCCGTCTCCCCTCCTTGCCTCCCCAGTGTGTTCCTGGGCAGGCGTGGCCCAGCTGCCGTGGGTGGGACTCATTCCTGACCTCCACCTCGATATGGCCCTCCTTGCACCACCACTCACCTCCTCCTCCTCTTCCTCCTCCTCCTCTTCCTCCTCTTCCTCCTCCTCCTCCTCTTCTCTGCTTTCCTCCTCGTCATCCTCCCCTTGTCCACCTCCTCACCTCCCTCAGTGGCTCTGGTCCCCATCCTCCCTCCCCCCATCCCTTCCCCTCTCCTCTTCTGATTTGCCCAATGACCCACCGCTGCTATTGCACTCCCAGCATCAGCAGCAGCACGAGCAGGAGCAGGAGCAGCAGAACCAGCCACAGCAGCAGCAGCGGCAAGGGCACGAGCAGCAGAGGCTGCATGGAAGTCGTAACCAAAACAAGCACACCCGTGTTGGGCGTTCCAAGTCGCAAATAGGCACCTCCAGATCCCTCGTTTCCACCTCGGCTCTCGACTCGTTCTTCGAGCCTCTCGAATCCTCCTTCTCCTCCTCTTCCTCCTCTACATCTGTAAAAGAAAGCCGTGAATCATCATCATCAACAGAAGCAGCCGCAGGTAGGGAGGCGAAGGCAGGGAGAGCAGGCAGCTCCAGATCCCTGGCTTCCACCTCTGCTCTCGACTCCTTCTTCGACCCTCTCGAGTCCTCCTCCTCCTCCTCGTCTGTAAAAGACAGCAGTGAAACTGGTGCGGAGGCCAAGGCAGGGAGAGCAGCAGGCAGCGCCAGGTCCCTGGTTTCCACCTCTGCCCTCGACTCCTTCTTCGACCCTCTCGAGTCCTCCTCCTCCTCCTCGTCTGTAAAAGACAGCAGTGAAACTGGTGCGGAGGCCAAGGCAGGGAGAGCAGCAGGCAGCGCCAGGTCCCTGGTTTCCACCTCTGCCCTCGACTCCTTCTTCGACCCTCTCGAGTCCTCCTCCTCCTCCTCGTCTGTAAAAGACAGCAGTGAAACTGGTGCGGAGGCCAAGGCAGGGAGAGCAGCAGGCAGCGCCAGGTCCCTGGTTTCCACCTCTGCCCTCGACTCCTTCTTCGACCCTCTCGAGTCCTCCTCCTCCTCGTCTGTAAAAGACAGCAGTGAAACTGGTGCGGAGGCCAAGGCAGGGAGAGCAGCAGGCAGCGCCAGGTCCCTGACCTCCACCTCTGCCCTCGACTCCTTCTTTGACCCTCTCGAGTCCTCCCTCTCCTCCTCTTCCTCCGCTTCCTCCTCTTCCTCATCCGGCTCTGTAAGCAAGAGCATTGATTTGGCCGCAGCAGCGGCAGCAGGGGCAGGAGCGTCAGGAGTAGCATCGAGAACGGTTGAGAACGGTTACAAGGGAAAGAGATCAACGGCAGGTCTTGTCTCTGTCACTGGATTAGCTGGCTCTATCGCTGAGGAAACTTCCCAGAAGCACGAGCAGCAGGAGCAGGAAAGGCAGAGGCGGGTAGAGGAAGGCGTGTTTGCTACAGTGCTGACGTCAGCAGCTGACATCATCCCCGTGGCTGTGTGGATCCGATCCTTCCGCCGCCATCATTGCGGGCGGGCAGTTGAGACAAACAACACCGGTGGCGGCTTCGGCTCTGGTGCTAAAGATGTTGCTTCAGGGAAGCATGGGAAGCAGAAGAAGAGGGGTGGGTGGGGGAAGGGGCGGGAGGGGAGAAGCAAGATGGGGGGTGGAGTAGGAGGGGGAGGGGAAGGAGGGGAGGAGGGGAGTGGGGCAGAGGGGATGGGAGGGAGGAGGGTGATGAAGGCCAGCCGGTCTGATGTGGATAAGGACAAGTGCCGCCGTACGCTGCTGCTGGTGTCTTCTAGAGTGGCCAAGGAGAAATGGGCGCCCTACGACTTTGAGGTGAGTGGAAAGATTTAGTGGTCCAGCAGAGTGTGCCGCACAAAGTGCCGCACAGCGTGCTTTGAGTGACCCCGTCTCTGTGTGTCCGCCCATCCACTCCCTCCACTCCCACCCCAAACTCCACACCAACCAACCCCCCATTTTTGAGTCGACTCAAAAGTAAACTCCACACCAACCAACCCCCCATTTTTGAGTCGACTCAAAAGTAATCTCCACACCAACCAACCCCCCATTTTTGAGTCGACTCAAAAGTAATCTCCACACCAACCAACCCCCCATTTTCACTATCCGCCACAGTCGCTCTTCTGGTCCGTGCGAGTGGTCGACCCCGTCTCTGTGCTCTGACCATCCACTCACTCCACTGTCCCATACTCTCACCTCCTGAACCTAATGGTTCCATCCCTCCTCTCCCTCTCACCCTCATCCACCCCCCACAGTCGCTCTTCTGGTCCGTGCGAGTGGTCGACCCCGTCTCTGTGCTCTGACCATCCACTCACTCCACTGTCCCATACTCTCACCTCCTGAACCTAATGGTTCCATCCCTCCTCTCCCTCTCACCCTCATCCACCCCCCACAGTCGCTCTTCTGGTCCGTGCGAGTGGTCGACCCCGTCTCTGTGCTCTGACCATCCACTCACTCCACTGTCCCATACTCTCACCTCCTGAACCTAATGGTTCCATCCCTCCTCTCCCTCTCACCCTCATCCACCCCCCACAGTCGCTCTTCTGGTCCGTGCGAGTGGTCGACCCCGTCTCTGTGCTCTGACCATCCACTCACTCCACTGTCCCATACTCTCACCTCCTGAACCTAATGGTTCCATCCCTCCTCTCCCTCTCACCCTCATCCACCCCCCACAGTCGCTCTTCTGGTCCGTGCGAGTGGTCGACCCCGTCTCTGTGCTCTGACCATCCACTCACTCCACTGTCCCATACTCTCACCTCCTGAACCTAATGGTTCCATCTCTCCTCTCCCTCTCACCCTCATCCACCCCCCACAGTCGCTCTTCTGGTCCGTGCGAGTGGTCGACCCCGTCTCTGTGCTCTGACCATCCACTCACTCCACTGTCCCATACTCTCACCTCCTGAACCTAATGGTTCCATCCCTCCTCTCCCTCTCACCCTCATCCACCCCCCACAGTCGCTCTTCTGGTCCGTGCGAGTGGTCGACCCCGTCTCTGTGCTCTGACCATCCACTCACTCCACTGTCCCATACTCTCACCTCCTGAACCTAATGGTTCCATCCCTCCTCTCCCTCTCACCCTCATCCACCCCCCACAGTCGCTCTTCTGGTCCGTGCGAGTGGTCGACCCCGTCTCTGTGCTCTGACCATCCACTCACTCCACTGTCCCATACTCTCACCTCCTGAACCTAATGGTTCCATCCCTCCTCTCCCTCTCACCCTCATCCACCCCCCACAGTCGCTCTTCTGGTCCGTGCGAGTGGTCGACCCCGTCTCTGTGCTCTGACCATCCACTCACTCCACTGTCCCATACTCTCACCTCCTGAACCTAATGGTTCCATCCCTCCTCTCCCTCTCACCCTCATCCACCCCCCACAGTCGCTCTTCTGGTCCGTGCGAGTGGTCGACCCCGTCTCTGTGCTCTGACCATCCACTCACTCCACTGTCCCATACTCTCACCTCCTGAACCTAATGGTTCCATCCCTCCTCTCCCTCTCACCCTCATCCACCCCCCACAGTCGCTCTTCTGGTCCGTGCGAGTGGTCGACCCCGTCTCTGTGCTCTGACCATCCACTCACTCCACTGTCCCATACTCTCACCTCCTGAACCTAATGGTTCCATCTCTCCTCTCCCTCTCACCCTCATCCACCCCCCACAGTCGCTCTTCTGGTCCGTGCGAGTGGTCGACCCCGTCTCTGTGCTCTGACCATCCACTCACTCCACTGTCCCATACTCTCACCTCCTGAACCTAATGGTTCCATCCCTCCTCTCCCTCTCACCCTCATCCACCCCCCACAGTCGCTCTTCTGGTCCGTGCGAGTGGTCGACCCCGCCTCTGTGCTCTGACCATCCACTCACTCCACTGTCCCATACTCTCACCTCCTGAACCTAATGGTTCCATCCCTCCTCTCCCTCTCACCCTCATCCACCCCCCACAGTCGCTCTTCTGGTCCGTGCGAGTGGTCGACCCCGTCTCTGTGCTCTGACCATCCACTCACTCCACTGTCCCATACTCTCACCTCCTGAACCTAATGGTTCCATCTCTCCTCTCCCTCTCACCCTCATCCACCCCCCACAGTCGCTCTTCTGGTCCGTGCGAGTGGTCGACCCAGTCTCTGTGCGCCGCCCGCCAGCTCATGCCGCCCGGCCTCTGCTGCCCGACTTTCTGATTCTCAGGCTGTGGCAGCAGGTGGGTGGGGGCATTTGAGCGGTTGAATGCGGTATGGCAGCAGGTGGGTGGGGGCATTTAAGCGGTTGAATGCGGTATGGCAGCAGGTGGGTGGGGGCATTTGAGCGGTTGAATGCGGTATGGCAGCAGGTGGGTGGGGGCATTTGAGCGGTTGAATGCGGTATGGCAGCAGGTGGGTGGGGGCATTTGAGCGGTTGAATGCGGTATGGCAGCAGGTGGGTGGGGGCATTTCAGCGGTTGAATGCAGTATGGCAGCAGGTTGGATTCAAGTGAGGGCGGGAGGGGTAGGGGGTGAACAGGTGGGTGGCATTACGGCAACAGGTGGGTGGCATCACGGCAACAGGTGGGTGGCATTACGGCAACAGGTGGGCGGCCTTACGGCAACAGGTGGGCGGCATGACGGCAACAGGTGGGTGGCATTACGGCAACAGGTGGGTGGCATTACGGCAACAGGTGGGTGGCATTACGGCAACAGGTGGGTGGCATTACGGCAACAGGTGGGTGGCATTACGGCAACAGGTGGGCGGCATGACGGCAACAGGTGGGTGGCATTACGGCAACAGGTGGGTGGCATTACGGCAACAGGTGGGTGGCATTACGGCAACAGGTGGGCGGCATGACGGCAAAAGGTGGGTGGCATTACGGCAACAGGTGGGCGGCATTACGGCAACAGGTGGGCGGCATGACGGCAAAAGGTGGGTGGGGGCATTTGAGCGGTTGCAGCTCATCCAGTCTACATGGCTAACAGGTGGGCGGGGTTGCAGCAGCAGGTTAGGGAAAGTTTGATGGCACGTATTCTTTGTCCTCTCTCTCCCTACCCCCCCCTTTCTCCCATCAAGTGGACATCCCACTCATTGCCTACGTGCATCCTCTCTCCCTCTTCTCTTCTCTTCTCTTCTCTTCTCTTCTCTTCTCTTCTCTTCTCTTCTCTTCTCTTCTCTTCTCTTCTCTTCTCTTCTCGACTGCTCCCCTCGCCATGCTTCCCCCAATCATTGCCTGCGTGCATCCTCTCTCCCTCTTCTGGCGCTCCTGCGCACCTCTTCTCCCACCACCAACCCTTCGCTTCTGCTCACCTCCCAACCCCCCTGTCTCCCTCCTGTCAGCCCACCTGTTAACCGCTGACAGCACATGCCTGCACCTCTTCTCCCACCTCCGCCCCTTCGCTTCTGCTCATCTCCCAACCCCCCACTCCTGTCTTCCTCCCGTCCTTCCCCCCCACTCCCTACAGGTTGACATACCACTCATGGCCTACGTTCAACCTCTCTCCCTCTTCTGGCGATCCTGCATCCAACTCTTCTCCCACCACCGACCCTTTGCCGCTGCCCCTCTCTCCCTGCCGCCTGACCGTTTCTCCACCTCCACGCTCCTCCTCGCTCCCTCAGAGCACCTTTTCCAGGTGCGTGCGTCTCCTCTGCCTGCTGGGTGCATATTGCTAGGTACACTCTGTATTGCTGTGTTCGCCGCCGCCCCTCTCTCCCTGCCGCCTGATTCGTGTATGGCGTCCATTATCTGCTTCATTCATCCCTAACGTACGTTTCTTCTTTGTAAGTTTGTACGCTTTGTGACTAATACTGTACCATTCTTCCAAGGAACAAGATCGCATACACAAATGCAGTTTACTTTTCTGTCCCACCTAATCTCATTGCTTCAACCTTCCTGATCCCCATAACCTTCATCCATAACCCATCTCAGGCTTTCATCAGTCGTCTATCATCACCACTCTTTCCGACCGAATCCGTAAACCATTTCCTGAACGCCGCTTACTCTTCCTGGTACACCTCCCCTCCAGCCCACCGCCTCCCCCTCTCATTCGCCACTCCCCTCGCTCTCAAGCCCTACACGCTACCCTTCCTCGCCCCGTTCCATATAATCACATTCGACGGCGCCGTGCCTCCTTATGGGAACATGGTGGGGTGGAGAGGGCAACCGAGGTTCCGGGTTGTGCTTGTATGGAGGAAGATTTTCTGTGGCTTGCCTGTGGAACTGCGTACTTCTAAGCTTAGGAAGTTGTGTAGATGAATGTATATTAACATACCGGAAGTGAGTGCTTGCTTATGCAATTACTTTTGCAGCTTTTATGTGTCCAGCCTGTTGTATTCGAAATCAACCTACTATCATGTCTCCCTTTCAAGTGGTATCCACACCACAACATGGCGGGGTGGTGGTTGTGGTGGAGGGGGCAGCCGAGGTTCTGGGTTGTGCTTGTGTGGAGGAAGAAATTCTGTGGGTTGCCTGCTGAGCTGCATACTTAGCTTAGGAAGTTGTGTAGTAGAATGCCAACTTTGTTACTGTAACTTGTCCATATCTTCTGCAGCTTTTAGTGCCCTGCCCAACCTGTTGCATCCAATTCCTCTCTACCACCGTATGTCTCAACTCAAGTGATGTAACATGACAGTGCAACATGTCGGCCTGGACGAGAGGGGGCAGTCGAGAGGTTCTGGTCTCTGTGTGCTGGTGTGGTATGGTATGGTGTGGTGTGGTGTGGTGTGGTGTGGTGTGGTGTGGTGTGGAATCAACCGCAGAAAGGCTCATCAGCAGCACACACATAGAATCATCAGCAGCAGCACGAACAATACCTGGTCAGTACATGAGCACTGCACTGCACTCAAAAGCACACTCATTGGCCTACACAAGGTGACTTCTGAGTCGACTCTGAAGCACACCCATTGGCCTACACAAGCATTGAGATCATCAGCAGAAAGGCAACTGTCACCAGTGGCAACTGCAAGGTAGTCCAAAAGTAATATCGCATGATCATCAGCACACCCGTTAGCTAGCCTGCACGAGCATGGCAATTATCAGCATCAAGACATTTGAGGCGCCCCAAAAGGCATGCCTATTACGGTAGTTGGCCAGCGCAAGCATGTCAATCATCAGAAGAAAGGCAACGGCCACCAGTGGCAGCCGCACACGTGACGATGGCTTTCTCGTGGTTGTAGCACTAGCAGTGTTGCTGGCAGTCCCGTTAAATAACCGATACACCCACTAGTTTCCCAATATGAGCATTGCCATCACCAGCAGAGAGGCAACGGCCACCAATGGCAGCCGCACACGTGTCGACGGCTTTCCCGCGGTCACGGAACCAGCAGTGTTGTTGCCCGAAGCATTAGCAGCGCTGCTGTTGGCAACGACCATTGAAACCTGGTCAAGAGGAAGAGCTTCAAGAGTTTTCACAGTCCTGTAAACAGAAACAGAGGAAATGCACCGCCATATGGGGAAATGTGGGGGAGGAGGAGGAACACAGAATTGCAACAGCTGAGGGAATTTATGTATGTCGGAGCCAAAACTAGGAAAATCTGGGAAATTGGAGTGGATAAAGAGAAATAAACGGTGCACAGATAAAGAAGCAGGTCACACTGGTTTCTCTCTTGGATGATGAGTCGACTATAAACACACCTCTTACGGTACTAGTTTTGAGTCGACTCAAAACTAGACTCAAAACTAGAGTCGACTCAAAACTAGACTCAAAACTAGAGTCGACTCAAAAGCGGGTCACCCTGGTTTCTCTCTTGGATGATGAGTCGACTATAAACACACCCCTTACGGTGATCAAATAGGAGGGGCAGAGGGAGGGACAAAGGGAGTGTTGGATACTGAGTCGACTATACAGAGGAAAAGACAAGAACAGAATATGAAGAGCAACGATTCAGGGAGATCATCCAATGCAACACACCATGCTTTCTCCGATGCAACACACCATGCTTTCTCTTTCGCTATCCAGTTGATAAAAGAGTTGTTCTGAACCTTCACAAAACACACCGTGCTTTCTCTTTCCCTATCCAGTTGCAGGAGCAGACTCACTCACTGGTGGATGATTATTGTAATGTCAATGTGACACTGCCTACTCACCGTGCTTTCTCTTTCCCTATCCAGTTGCAGGAGCAGACTCACTCACTGGTGGATGATTATTGTAATGTCAATGTGACACTGCCTACTCACCGTGCTTTCTCTTTCCCTATCCAGTTGCAGGAGCAGACTCACTCACTGGTGGATGATTATTGTAATGTCAATGTGACACTGCCTACTCACCGTGCTTTCTCTTTCCCTATCCAGTTGCAGGAGCAGACTCACTCACTGGTGGATGATTATTGTGTTGAAAAGCTAGAAGAGATACATTGAATAATGAGCCAAGAGGCCCTTTAGTACAAACAATGAGCAAGAGAGAGATGAAAGGGAAGCTTACCCTATTGGCCAATAAGTTGGCCAATGGGTGAGCTTGCTTGTGACCCAAGCAACCACAAATGTGTGTTGGTTGGGATTGGTTGAGCTAAGGACCAATCCCAACCAACCACAAAATGTGGTTGGAGGGTACACTAAACAACCCCCCAATTTATAAGTGTACTACAGATCTAATTCTAGCCTATGTATGTTGTATAAATTATGAAATTACAACACAACCCCCCAACATGCATAAGGCTAGAAGGCTATAATCAAGAGGCGGGAGGCGACTTAGGAGGAGTGAGGCCAAGAAGACGAAGTAGGAAAGAGTGAGCGACATGAGGAAGAGCTTTTGTGAAGATGTCGGCAAGGTTGGCCGCCGAGTCAACCTTGTCGAGCCGAAGGTGCCCCGCCTGAACAAGATCGCGAATGAAGAAATGACGGAGCTCAATGTGCTTGGAACGCCCGTGAAACACAACATTTTTGGTGAGGTGAATGGTACTGGCATTGTCACACCAAATGGTGGGACAGCGCTGGGGGGCACCAAGTTCCTCAAGGAGGAAGGTGAGCCAGCGGGCCTCTTGCGCAGCCATGGTGGCGGCATACAACTCCGCCTCGCAGGAGGAGAGGGCGACAGCCGAGGAGCGGGTGGAGCGCCAGCTGATAAGGCCGCTGCCAAGAGAGAAGCCATAGCCCTGGGAGGAGCGACGATCTGGCTGGGAATCAGCCCAGGAGGAGTCACTGTAGCCGCTGAGGGTAGGTGGGGAGGGGCCGCCGAGGGTAAGGACATAGTCCTTGGTGCCACGAAGGTATCGAAGGACACGCTTGCCGGCCTGCCAGTGCTCTTCCGTATGCTTGCCTGCGCCAACAAAACGAGCGAGGACGCTGATGGGGTAGGCAAGGTCAGGGCGAGTGGAGACCATGGCGTACATGAGGGAGCCGATGAGCTCGGGATAAGGATGGGAGGAGGCTGAGGGGGAGGTGGGTGGAGAGAGGTGGTGCCCGACAGAAAGAGGAGTAGGTTGGGCGCCGCCGCGGACCATGTCAAACCGCTCCAAGACCTGCTGCAAGTAATGACCCTGGGAGAGAGAGATGGTGCGGGCGGAGCGATCGCGGGTGATTGTCATGCCCAGGTAATGCTGCAATTCGCCCAAGTCCTTGCACTTGAGACGGCTGCCCAACTCAGCCTTAACACGCTCCAACTCGCTGAGGTCGGCAGTGAGTAGAATCATGTCATCGACATAGACAAGGATGTAGAAGGGGGAGGGGGAGGCGCGGAGGAAGAGGCTGGCGTCAGAGCGGGAGGTGCGGAATCCAAGTTCAGCAAGGGTGGCGGCAAGCTTAGCATGCCACTCCCTCGGGGCCTGTCGGAGCCCATACACAGGGCGACGCAGCTGCCAGACAGAGTCCGCAGGGAAGGGAAGGTGAAAACCGGCAGGACGCTCCATGTAGATAAGCTCGCGGAGGACGCCTTGGAGGAAGGCGTTAGAGACGTCCATCGAGTGGATCTCCATATTGAGGCGAGCGGCGAGGTCGAGCACGGCGCGAACAGTAGCGGGCTTGGCAGTGGGGGAGAAGGTATCGAAGAAGTCAAAACCATACCGCTGCGTGAACCCCTTGGCGCAGTAACGAGCCTTGTAGACGGGCGGCTCCCCTGGCAGTTGTTTGACGCGAAACACCCACTTCCCCTTCACCACGTTCGTAGAGGAGGGAGGGCGAGGCACATCAACAAAGGAGGAGTTGGCGACAAAGGCCTCCAGCTCCTTGATAATGGCGGCGAGCCAGAGTGGGGCGTCGGGGCAAGCCATGGCCTCCTCATACGTGGTAGGGATGAAAACGGAGGGAGCAGAGGAGAATGCGAAGACTGGTGTCTCAGAAAGGTCGAAGGTGATGGGTAGAAGGGAAGGGTCACAGAGGTGGAGGTCAAGGAACTCCTCATGGGAGTCCTCAGAGAGGGAGGTGTGGAAGGAGCGGATGACCGTTGGTGCCGCTGGTGCTGCTGCACGTGCCGCTGCTGGTGCCGCTGCTGGTGCCGCTGCTGGTGCCGCTGCTGGTGCCGCTGCTGGTGCCGCTGCTGGTCCTGCTGCTGGTGCCGCTGCTGGTCCTGCTGCTGGTGCCGCTGCTGGTCCTGCTGCTGGTGCCGCTTTTGGTGACGCTGCTGGTGCCGCTGCTGGTGCCGCTGCTGGTCCTGCTGCTGGTGCCGCTGCTGGTCCTGCTGCTGGTGCCGCTGCTGGTCCTGCTGCTGGTGCCGCTGCTGGTGCCGCTGCTGGTCGTGCTGCTGGTGCTGCTGCTGGCGCCGCTGCTGGAGAGGTGGCGGCGGGGGCTGCTGCAGGGGGAGGTTGATGCAGAACAGCCTGGAAGAAGTGGTGAAGGAGAGGGGAGAGTGGGGGAGGGTAGAGGTAGAGAGGGTAACAGGGGGCGGTGCACCAAGGATACTGTCACGTGACCTGGTATGGGGGTACCGGGTTAGTACAGTGCGGGGAGGGGGGGAAGGACGAGTCGGCAGCGAGGGAGGTGAAGGAGGGGCGGGAGGGGCACTAGGAGAGGAATGTGTGGGGGAGACGGGAGAGGACAAAGGTTCCGGGTCAAATATATCACCAGACAAGGGAGGGGCACCGTGGGACGAGGACGACGGTGGGGGAGGGGGAGGGAGGATGGGGGGAGGAGGAAGTAGAGGGGGAGGGGTGGTGTCAGACCAGACAAGGGGACGGGGAAGACGGGGGAGTGGGTCGGTGGATGGGGGAGAGGAGTAGTAAGGAGTGGACTCATCAAAGACCACATCCCTACTGCGGAATAGACGACCTGAGGGGGGATGGAGGAAAAGGTAGTCAGGTGAGGAGGAGTTATGACCAAGAAAGATG